GATGGATGGACGGTTGAGTAGATGGGTAGATAAATGAATAGATCAGTGAATGGATGGATATGTAGTAGAGGCTGGATAGGTGGGTGGATAGATGTATAGATGGGTGGACGGGTGGATAAAGTTTAGGAGTGAAGGTAGCGGTTGGGGATGCTCACTAGGCTGGGGAGGGGATTTCTTGGTGGGAGACTTGAGTATGTTCTTAGGCTAAGGAGAGAGGCTAATCGGTGGAGTGAGGGTGGAGAGGAACTAAGACTCTGATATGGGAGGCTTGCAGGAAGTGTACCCCACCTGTCTCAGTCCCCAGAGCCCCACTCTCAATCGCTGCACCCACATCCCACTCGGGACATGGGGGCTTGAGGGGGCTGATGCATGAGAGGGTCGGTCTCTGGGATTAGGAGCCACAGGCACCGGCCTCTTTCCCCTCCTGTGCAGCGGGGCAAGTCCCTTCTCGCTCTGAGGCTTCTGGCATTTCCTGTCGGCTGCCTGAGTAACGGCTGTATCCCCGGGGAAATGACGCAGGGCTTGTTATCAGTGACCCACATTTCTTAGAAGAGAGCACAGGAAGGCAGGAGGGCTCGGGCCTCTGTTGTGGAGTGTGGGGGTGGAGGCCCGGCCCTCGCCTGAGGCCACACACAGAGGGGGTGGCGTTGGCCGCTGGACGGTCCCCTGGCCAGCCACAGCACAGCGTCCCCATTTCACTGAGTTGTGCCGACGGCCTGCAGTTTCTCCTAGGACCTAGGCCAATCAGCTGGAACCAGGGCAGACTCCGGATGTGTCTGACCTGCTGGCCTCCACCTTGAGGGTAGTAATCAGACAACCCAGTGCAGTAGAAGTTCAGGAAAGTCCCCTCTCCTCTCTACCTCAGTTTCCTCATCTGTATAATGGGTGTCATGGGGGGGGGGGGGGGTTGAAATGCAATAACACATAAAGAGCGGTGGGCCCAAGGGTCCTAGCCCAGGCCGTGGGCAAACTACGGCCGCGGCCGGATCCGGCCTGTTTGAAATGAATAAAACTAAAAAAAAAAAAAA